GCCCTGCGCTCTCCTGGCGTGGCCAGCAGAGACAGCCAGGAGCTGAGTCAGTGTGTCCTGGGGATCCTCCTCCTCACAGCTCCCTGGGGAAGGCCGTGCCATCCTGGCTGGACTCAGACTCATGGCTCTGGGCAGAGTCATGGCACCCCCAGCTCTGAGGCTCCCCCTGCTCCTCTGTGTGCTGCTGCTGCCGCTGGAGGCCCAGGGAGGGTACCGTGGACGTAAGTGGGCCCCAGGTAGGTGATGGCTGTGTGGGTACACGGGAGGGGCAAGAGGGACCCATCTTGGAGGACCTGGTACCTCTCTGCACACCCAGCACGGACCGCAGCACTGTGGAGGCTCTGGGCTGGTCAACGCCTGGCGTCCAGCCTGTGACCCAACCTGGGAACAGTGACGGTGGAGGAAGGTCCTGCACCTCTCCTTCCCCTCCTTTCCAAAGACCAGGAACAAATGGCACACGCTGTGGGGAAAGGGGCATCGGCTCTAGAGTCTAAGGGGCCAACAGGACACGACTCTTTGACCTGTGCACATCTGTGGGGCCACGCAGAGGTACTCATGGGTGGAGGAGGTGGAGAAATGGTGAGGTGTGGAGGGAAAAGACACTGGTGGGAAGATAGGAAGGACGAAGCCAAGGTGAAGTTACCATCCGAGGGAACAGAGAGTGGCAGTGTCAGGCGGGCCACTGGAGGAGCAGGTGCTGGAGAATGACCCTGGAGAGAGGAGAGAGGGGCAACAGGCAGGTCGGCTTCCCCTCTGCATCTGCAAGTCCTGCAGCCTGGGGAGGCTTGGGAGGTGTCTAGGCTTCTCTGAGGTCCCAGGGCCAGAGTGTAGACTCCATGGGGGTGACCTCACCACGGCCGTGTCTGTGGGGGACAGGTCTTTGGTGGATGTGCCTGCAGAGGCCCAGGCCGACCCGCCACTGATGTCTTCAGGGGAGGAGGGGTGTCAGGGAAGGTGAGGATCTAGGACACTGCTGACTCCCAGGGTCTGGGGAGGGCGCTGGGTCCCGGGTTTGTGGAGAATTGAAGCTGGAGGAGGAGGCTCTCTGGGCAGTGCCCCCCCAGCGGCTCCTGTTTCTCCTCAGCGTCCCCGTGGACTCCGTGGACTCCGGAAGCCGCGGCCTGTAAGCAGTGGCCCAGTGCTGAGGGCTGCAGCCTCCGCTGCTCCTACTTCCAGAAGTGTCAAGGGAACAGCACGTGCTGCTTGACCTTCTGTGGGAGCGTTTGCCTGAGCACCCTGTGAGCTGGGGGGCCTGCTCCCTGCCCCCACCCTCCTCGCAGAGGCTGCGTCCACCGAAGCCTGAGGACCTCTACTCACAGCACAAGGCCATCCACCCAGAGCCACCTCCCAGGTCGGAACCCCTGGTCCCTGTCCAATAAACTGGATCGGCACCTGGCCTCTCCTGCTCCCTCAGCGGTGTGCACCCAGAACCCAGGCGACCGGCAGCACCCGCCCTCCCTGGCCCAGGGCTCCACTCTCCTCCTGTCCTGCTCTCTGCTCTGTCCCTTTGCCACACACCCCGCTGGGCCCAGGAGGCTCCGCTCCTGCGGCTCTGCTCACTGAACCCCTTCTCCCGGTGGGCACACTGCTCGTGGGCAGCTCCCCAGGGCCAAGGAGGACACGGCTGGCCCCGAGCCAGGGGACCTGGTGAAGCATCCGAAGGTGCAGGGAGAGCCTGGGCTGGGGGGGCCCAAGCGCTTTCCTGGCCCACCCCTGCCCACCTCCCGCTCTCCTTCTCCAGTTCAGGTCAGGGTTTCTTTCCAATGGGGACGTGAGTCCAGGACACTCAGGGAGGTGCCCAGAGCCACAGAGACTGAGGGGCTGTGCGGGGCCTGGAGAGGACGCTGTCTGCACGGCCTTTTGCTCACTTCCTCACATCCTCTGGGACAGGAGGCCGCGCAGGAGGGCCTGCAGCCAGCCCCCTCACAGTATCCGCCCCCACCAACATGGCCATCCTGAGACGGAGCCTGACCTCGGGCGGGGATCTGAGGCTCCAGGGCCTCTGCTTCCTGAATGTTCCTTACTGACCCCAAACCCTTTCCTTTCTGCTCTTGTTCTCTTTGATCCAGAGGAACCCAAGGTGGTGGGAGAGGTGGTCCGTGCTGAGGTCCAGGCTTAGCTGGCACAGGGTGTCCAGGGCTCTTGCCTGGATCCTGCTGTCAGTGGACATGCATCCCTGGGGGACAGTCTCTGCTCCTGGGTGAAGTCACAGTTCCTGGGAAGGATCCTGGGCTGGACCCAGGGCTGGGTGACAACAGCCACCTGAGGCCTGGCCTCAGATGTGAAGAGACCTCAGGCAGGTGGCCCTGCCCAGGGCAGCCGGGCCGCCCGAGGCTCCAGCCCAGTGCTGGCTGCTGGGCTGCTCCAAGGGAGGGGCAGAGGGGGAACTCCCCCGACCAGAGCCCCTGACCTGCCTCATAAGCTCTCGGGGCCCAGGTATTTCAGGCTCGTCTCCACCTCTGACAAGGGCTGCTCTTGGACAAGGGACCTTAGCACAGATGCAGGACCAACCACCAAGACAGAGTCACTGAAGTCTCCCTCCCGCAGCCTCACTTTCCAAGCACCTTTCCAGCCAAGGGGAAGGGAAGTGCTGGGCTGGCCATGCCCTCTCACTGGCTCAGGACCAGGGACATGGGCTGACTGGTGTGGGAGGGACCCTCGGGACACCCCTCCGTGCCCCAGAGACCCAGAGGCTGTACCCAGGTGCTGGCTGTGGAAGGAGCCACCCCTTCCTGGTCACGGCTGTGCTCTGCCTGGCGTGGAAGCATCTGTGTGTCCCCAGGTGAAGCAGAGCCTGGGAGTGAGGATGTAGGACTCCTGGAGACTGGAATCTCTCGGGGCAGAGGAGGAAGCCAGTGGGAGTCTGCAGGCTCTGGTCTCTAGATGTCAGTGCCGGCTGCAGAGGAGCCAGAGGGGTCTGTTGGAGACCAGGGTTGCCACGGCTTTGCGTTTTGTTCTCCTGTGCCCCAGACCTGCTCCTTTCTCTATGTGATTAAATGAGAAGATTCTAGAAGGATCTTCTCCTCACACCTGCACCTGAAATTCACAGATGGGTGTTACCAACATGTCACCAGCAAGGTGTGTCCTACTCCTACCTCTGGTAGCGGTCTGCCTCCTCCCAACCCCAGGCTGCCTAATTCATGCACAACAATAAGTCATTTGAAATGCAAAGGTTGAGTTTGGTGTCTGAGTTCTCTGCCAAGATTTCATGTGTTAATAAAATCCTGTTGGCACAAAACCAGTTAGAATGCCCCTGGTATAAACGATTGAAGGTAGGTCTTCTGTCAGAGGTGGTGGTTGCTGAGTCTCTATAGGCTGATCACTAGCGTTGGCAGCGTTGTTAAAATGGGTGATTCCAGACTCTCCCTCCGCCCACTGATGCATTGAATAAACATCTGTGCACAAGTCAGTTCCTTCCTGGAGAAGCCAAGTCAGCCAAGGGACTCAAGCCCCTGTGCATCTAGAAAACATCTGTGCCAAGGGGTAGGAAAAGCTGAAGCCTGCTCAGGCACAGACCCTATCCTGGACCTTCCACCACAGACTTAGGAAAGGAAAACCCACCATCCAGGGTGTCCTTGAGAAGAGAAGAAGACAATCGTAGAAAGATCTGTAGAGCTGAGGGAAGGGACAAGGGAGGAGAGAAAGAAAATGGGAAGTACTGGGGACTGAATTAGAGAAAATTGTATGTCATGCTTTTAATAATTATGCCAAAATGAGTCCTAATGTTATGTATAACTAAAAAGAATTTTTAAAAAAATGTTCCCCCACCAAAGTGGGGACCCTGCCTATCTCTCCAGCCTCAACTGGAACCACCTTCCTCTCTTCTCCAACCACACTGAGGTCCAGTTTCCCTACCTTAAAAACAGTGAGCTCAGCAGACCAGAAGAAGATGCGGGGTCAGCACTCCAGCAGAGAGGCACAGGCAGCGAATCCTCAACAGAACCCTAAAGCTCAGGAAATAATGTCAACAGTTCATAAATGGGATGGCATCAAGTTAAAAAGCTTCTGCACAGCAAAGGAAACAATTGAGACTGGGAAGAGGAACCTACAGAATGGGAGAAAATCTTTACTACCTACTCTTTGGACAGAAGATTATTGTCTAGAATATAAAAAGAAAAAACTTAACACCAATGCCCCCCCCAATAACGCAATTAATAAATGGGCAAACGAATTAAACAGACACTTCTCTCTGGAGGGCACTGGGGATTGAACTCAGGGGCACTCAACCACTAAGACACATCCCCAGTCCTATTTTGTATTTTATTAGAGATAGGGTCTCACTGAGTTGTTTAGCGTCTCGCCATTGCTGAAGCTGGCTTTGAACTCGCGATCCTCCTGCCTCAGCCTCTGAAGCTGCTGGGATTACAGGCGCATGTCACCGCAGCTGGCTCAAACAGACACTTCTCAAAAGAAGAAATACAAATGATCATCAAATACATGAGAAAATATTCAATATCATTGGCAATTAGGGAAATGCAAATCAAAGCTACAGTCAATAAAGAATACAGACAATAGTCAATGCCAGAGAGGATGTGGAGAAAAAGAACACTTTTACACTGTTGATGGGGTTGTACGTCAGTATAACCTATGGAAATCAGTATGGAAGCTCCCAGAAGACTAGGCACGGAACCACCGTATGACCCAGCTCTTCCACACATCAACATTTATCCTGAAAAATTAATGTCAGCATATTATACGGATACCTGCATACCCACGTTTATCACAGCACAATTCACAGTAGCCAAACTATGCAACCAGCCTGGGTGTCTTTCAGCAGGTGAATGGGAGAAGGAATGTGGTATACATGCAGAATGGAGTTTTACTCAGACATGAAGAAGACGACACTATGCCACTTGTAGGAAACATTATATTAAATGAAATAAGCGAAACTCAGAAAGTCAAGGGTCATGTATTTTCTTTCATATGTGGAAGATAGAAAGGAAAAAGGAAGAGAAAGGCGCAGGGCGTTGAAAGGATCCTAAGAACAGTGAAGGGAGGTCTGTAGACTAGAGGAAAGGGACCATAGGGTGGGAGGAGCGTCGGGAAAGGGGAGGTGGTGGGAGCGATATTGACCAATTCTATTGTCACATTGTGTGATTGTGCAAATATGTAATAACAATCCCACCATATGTACAAGTATAATGCACCAATAAAAATAGGGAAAATAATAGGCCAAACTCACAGAAGTAGAGGATCAGTGGTGGTTACCAGAGGTGGGGGACAGAGATGGACGGGAAAGAGGAGATGTTGATCAAGGAGCACAAGATTTCAGGAAGACAATAGGAACAAAGTTTCAGTGATTTTTTTTTTTTGAACAGAATCATGACTTTAATAAATGCATTGCACATTTTGAAATTACTAAAATGTAGATTTAAATGTTTTCACCCATGAATAAGATAAAGTTTGTGAAGTGATGGATTGTTAAATTATCTTGATTTAATCTTTCCACAATGTAGACATGTATCAAAACATCACATTGTACCCCATAAATATATGCAACTATTGCTTGACAATTAAAAATAGTAATTTTAAAGGGAATCAGTTTGAAAATACTTGCAAAAACATGTTAAGCTGACACAAAATTACTCAAAAGTTTAGTCAGATTTTTTAAAAAGTTTAATTGCATTTTTCTTCATTACCCACTTTGTGTATTGTTAATCTTAACTATGGATAACAAATCTACTTAAGACCATGTTTTAAAAAAAGAAGAAGAAAGAAAACATGCCTATCTACTTGCTCACTTGATTCTTATGGTCCCAGTGGGTTGTACTCTATTATTCCCGTCTGTACATGTGATTGTGAGTTTCAGAGAGACACAATAACCTGCCAAAGTCACACAATTAGCAAGTGAGAGAGTCAGGTTTTAGGGCTGTGTCTGATAAGCCTACACATTAATCATGGCACTACAGCTGTGTGAGCTTCCAACATCCCATGGCTCCTCTGACTTATCCTCTGGACCAGCCAAGGTGAGGGTCAGGATGAGGGGAAATGGGCCGACCCATACTCTGTTGGTGCAAATAAAACCCACATCTTGTAAAAAGGAAAAATCTTGTAAAAAGACTGAATCGTGTTTATTTCCATTTTTATTTCTATTGTCTTTCCCGAGGAATAAAGAAATACTCAAGGAACTAGTTACTCGTGTAACTAATGATAGTGACATAATTTATTACCAGGAGAAACTAGAACCACCGAGATGCCCAATGACTGGTGATCAGTTATCAGAATAGTCTGTCGATCTACGAAGTTTTATAACATATTTAGGACTATAAAATATCTTACCTGTTACGATTTTAAATATTTACAGGATTATCCACAATTTTAAAAAAATAGATGTGCACAAGGAAAAAAAAGACTCCGAGGATATATACATAAATATCACCACAGGGTAACA